CCGTTTGTTTCTATAAAGTCCCTAAACGAACATAGTCTAACAATGTTCCGCTGATGTTGCTCTGACTGCTGTAGCTGTCCCCGTATCGGAAAGTTAATGATGATGATGATGACCAACCGCCCACAGCTACAAAATTACCCGGTTTATTTCTAGTTTCCTTCCGTATCCGGTTGGCTTCAAGACTTTGTTGATACTGCAAAACGGTTCAGGACAACATTTTACAGTCTAAATTTGTTGTTAATTTTTTTAGCGATTACGATGGCGGCAGTAACAATGATAGCTGAAGCAGCACCGGACTTAGCTGAAAACCGTACAATGAGGAACCGGTGGAACCGCATTTTCTAATGTTATTGTTGTAGCCGTCGTCGTAGTCATCGTCGTCCTACAGAAGATACTCATTGTTTCACCGGCAATATCAGCATCAGCAACAGTTAATTACCCAATTATACACTGACACTGTACAGCGGAACAAGTAAAACGTTGTGCAAACACAAAACACATACATTCATTGTTACAGTCAATCAACTAAACAGTAGATGAAATAGGGTTTTCAGGAAAGAAAAATTTAATATCGTGTTTTTTTTTTGTAAACCATTTATTTTGAAAGTAAAAAAAAAAAAACTAATAAGGAAAAGCCTTTCTTCGATTTTGTTTGCAGGTAACACAAATAATTTTCTATCTTCTTTTTCCATTCTTTTCCTTTTTTTTTTCCATCCATTTACCGTACTTCAACTTCATGTCCACAGAAACAGAGTGATAAATACAAAAACAGAAGTAATGACAGATAAACAAAACTACAAGTGGTCATATATAAACTAAGTATAAAAAAAAAAAATTAGACTCAAACTATTTTTAAGCCATAAGATCTCCAGCTGCATTTGTTGACTGCATTCTCTTATTTTTGGCTCGACGATTTTTAAACCAAATTTTAACATTATGGGTGGATATTGGCGGATAACTTTGCCGATAAGGGAAACTGTTCAATCTTTCAGTATACTGATCGATCTGTAAAGAAATAAAATGAAAGTGCTTTTCTTTGTCCTGTCTCAAAAAATAAATGTTAACTGTAGAATTTGTAAAACACTTTTAAACTAAACAGTTAGAGTTACAGCTAAAGATATACGATGTAGCAAAGAGATTGCTTAATATGCATAAGATCAGCAACACTGACCTGAATCCAGGTTGGATGCTGATTTTCTTCAAACCATTTTTCTAAAATTGGTAATTCTGTCAACGGATCAAACATCAAACGAGATCGTGCTACTGTACTAGACGGAGTTTGTGCTTGTGTTGCTTGCCCGCTAAGGCCATTTGTTGCTGCAGGAGACGGCCTTGGCTTTGGTGACGTCGACGCTAAGCTTCCATTTAAATCTAACGATAATTCTGGCGAAGATGTTGTAGACTCCTAGAAAACAAATCATTTAGAAGATGTCGAGGAAAGCTAATGTTTATGCTAGTAACCAAACGATTGATTCTCTAAACAAATTTTGTTGAAAACAACAGAAATTCTTCAACGACTTAAGATCATCTCAACTAAAAATTAGTGACCTGTGACTGCTCTAACGAGATAAAGATTATTAGAATTTGATACAAACATTAAACTGCTAAAGCAGTAACAGTGTTTCAGATTACAAACAATTTATAATTGAGTAAACTTTTAGAATTATGCACTCTGTCAAAAATTTGTTGACTAAAGATCAAAATAACAGCAGACAGTATTATATAAGGTTTTACAAAATCAGACAGACTGAGGTATCATAAATAAAGATAATCCCTAAAGTCCAGCATGAATCCGAATTCGCTTTCGTTAAAATGATTAGCGACTTAAATAAACTACACTAAAATTGAATAAATTTGTTTTAATTTAGCAGGTTTTTAGATTTTAACAAATACTGTCAACAGATACAGACAAGACAACTTAGGCTATGTACTTGTTTTAGCGTGCTATCCTGATCAAATCCGTTGTCACTAACACTATGAACACTAGCGTCATCGTTTGGTGTTGGTGAATCAGAACCTCCGTCAATACGCTGAAATTCCTAAAAGTAGATTAAAAGAGATCCCTTTTCAGCGTATTCTTTGGTAGACTTAAAAACAAAACCTTTGAACTTGTCTGAAGACATCTAAATAATGTAATACTGACCAAATAAAAAAGAAAATAGTCTACCACCAACCTCATTAGCAACACCGTTTTGTTTATTTTCCAAGAGCGTATTAAAATCAAATTTTGGACGAAAATCGTTCTGCAAATTTGTCTGCATTGAATTAAGTACCACTGGCTGTGATACTGAGGTAGCTGTCGGTATAACCGAATCACAGTTACGATTAGATGACCTAGAAAAAAGTACGTCTATTGTACTGAACTGAGTTACACTTTTTTACAAAAATTATACCATTTAGTTTTGCAGATGTGAAAAACAGAAAAAAAAAATCTTAACCTGTGAGCGGCTCTCTGATTTGAAAACCAATTGCAAATCTGTTGATATGTGATTTTTGTGCTGTTTTTTCTGAAGTTCGACTGATTTAACAAGTTCATGTACTGTATCAATTTTTGACGCGAAGGATTTGGTTCTGCACGAAACCATCTTTCCAATTTTGGAACTTCAAACATTGGGTTGAATCTGGTTGTAAATGGGCTGAAATAAAAAGGAATTTGCATCAATGTTTCATAAGCTAACTTTGATAGCAAAAAATAAAAGTTAAAGGAACTGTCTGCAGTATAATGTCATCGAATAAATTTACTATTTTTTGCTCTTACATTATTGCTGTTGCTGGTGATATAATTGTTTTTGTTGACGACAGTGTTGGTGATGATTGTAAGGGGACGAAGAACAGGAGAAAAGGGGGGTAAAATTTTAAAATTTGGTCCACTGGAATTCTTGTCACTCTATCTGACTACTGTAACAACTGCCTACACATCACTTCTATCTGGTCAGATGACAGGTAATTAGACTAAAGGTTGAAAGTTTGTTCAGCAGTATACAAAATATGGTATAGATGTGATGGTATGTTGTATCGGGACCTGTTTTTGATCCAAAAACCGTAGAAATTTGTTGAATTAACAGAACAAGAAAATAAAAAAAAAAAAAAGGAATTTTTTTTTGATTCTTTATTAAAACATTTTTATGGTGTAAATGTCTTGCAATTTTTGTTTCGAGAATCTTTTTTGAGTGTTAGTCCATTGAATGATAGATTGAATTTTCCAACAAAATAGTCATTTGAGCGCAAATTCAAAAGCGCTATTGTGCCCAGTATTGCAATATAAACAGAAAGATATGAAAGATAATCCTATTGGCACATCAAAATCCATCCAAAAACTTTTCGGCCCTTGCCCATAATGCTATTCTAAACATAGCAACGCAATATATTTTATTTTTAGTTCTAGTTTTAGTTAAAACAACTTGTTTTTTTCCCCCTTCACTTTTTTCACTTCAATAACTTCTTATAATATCGCAGAAGGCAAGTTTTCTAATCGCTGATATCCATTCAGTGGATAAATATTCTTCAAGAAAAAAAAATAACGTCTACCCTTCAAGTAAGTCCAAAGAAAAAAAAAACGTTTTTTATTTGCTTTCACATTAACCCCGTAACTAACTGAAGCCTTTTTCTTTTCTTTTTTTTTTTCTTTCTTTGGAGATATTTGGACGGCAATGAGCTTCCAGGTTACTTCTATCAGTGGAATGAATCTTCAACCAATGTTTTTTCCTAAATCACTAAAGTTCAGGAAGGAACCGTAGCAGTAACAGCGATAGGATTCCACACACTACTGGTTTTCCACAGCTTTTTTTTTTTTTCTCACTGCTGATAAAAGTGGCCAAAGTTGAACACTGTTATCGATTGAAATACAAGTTTAGGACGATGCAGAAGAATAAGAGTAAGAATAAGAACGGAAAAAAGAACAAAAAAGAGCAGAAAAAACTAGAGGAACCTATACTATATTTTCTTCTGGTGGTATAAGAAGTAATTCTTTTTTGGCTGTTAAAGATTGTTGAGAATTGAAATAAAATATAACCTAATTTATAGGATGATAATAAAAATACCTTTTTTTTTGTTTGTTTGCTATTTTCCACTAAAACTGTAATTTGACGCAGTTTTTTTTTCTCAAAAAATTGAATAAAAAAAGTGAACGAGAGAATAAAAAAAGTGCAGAAAATTTCTTTTTTCTTTTTTTTTTCCACAACTATCTGTGATAGCATTAATTTCAATAGCTTTTAACCGACATAAATTTGGAAGGTGAAAAGCCAACACAGAGGTGGAATTTGTGGTGAAGGGGGAAAAAAAAAGAAGAAAAGAAATAACTAATCAAAAACTTGTTTTCTGTTCTGTCATGAGGCTGCTTTGCTCTTATGTCTAAATTTATTCTCTCCCCTTCCCCTCTCCTTCCAAAAAGAATCAAAAACAATTTTCAATGTTGTCCTCTTATTCGATAAAAGCAAATAAACAATTTTCATTCTAAAAAAAATTTTAAAAAAGTGGGAAAAGTAGAAAAATGCAAAAATTTAGTTTTCAATTTTAAACTTAAAATGAACATAAAGACTACCTTAAAAGTAGGGGTTAAACTCGAAACTGCTTAATAACATGACAATTTGATAGAACCGGTTTTGCTATTACAGAGGTACTCCTCCCAATATGTATATATACATAACATGTACAAATTCCTGAAGCTTTTTTCCTTTTCTTCATTAAAAATTTTCAAAACATAATTTATCATCAGCTGATTAAAGATTTAGGTGAAAAAAAAAGATGAGAGTAGAATACACAAATTTTCAAAATCATGCTCATATGCATCTGGTGCTCAATATTACTCTTTTAAAGCTCTCTTGTTTATGCTCTAGGATTAAGCCTATTTGAAACAGCGATCCAATTCCTAAAATATCCATATTCCGCTTGTCTTTTGAACGCTGTGATTGAAAAAGCGCATTAGAGAGAAATAAAAAAAGGCGATTTTAAACTTTTTCAAGATTTTTGCAAGCAGTGATGCTTGAAAACAAGATTAAAGACCTTGGATATGATGACGACAATGATGCTGATGATGATTATCATGAAGCTAATGGTACAAAAATTTAAGCTCAAGCCGAAGTCTTCTTTTTCCAGTTTTCAATCTTTTTCTCATCAAAGAAATTCTAATTCTCGAACACCGTCTAATGCCAAAACTAAAAAGGCTTTGTTGCAGAGCTGCTTGGCAAAAAAATTCTTTTTAAACTAATCACGTTCAGCTGGAACGGATGCAGCGAAATCGCAAAATAATTGGAAGGGGGAGGCGGAGGGGGAAGAAGAGAATGAGCGGAAGGGGGGCAGGAAGGATACGGTGGATATAGCTTCTTCACAGCTCAACGGCTTAGATACAATTGGTTTGGAAAAAAGTTAATTAATGGGTAGTACTGGTCCTAATTGGTTGGCTGAGTAGACTTTTCCAAAACCATCAATCGGAACGCACGCCATCGTTCAGCTGTGGCTTGTTTGGTTTCATCCATCTAAGCCGATCTGAACAGGCAACAACCAAAACAAAAACAACAACCATCAGCAGTAAAAAGAACCGTAGGTTTTTATCTAGTGATTCTGTAAAGCTCTAAATACTTCCGAAGGTAAAAAAAAATCCCCTATTTTATCAAAGCATTAGCCGGTCATAAACATTCCATAGCGTTTTCTTTATTTTTCTTTTTCAAGATTTGACTATGATTTGCTCCAAAATGGCATATACAAAACCTAATAGCAAACAAAATGTCTGCCTATCACGGCTCGTCCCCTTTTAGCCTCTTTTGTATACATTACATAAATATAAATAAATAAATAAATATATATATAATATATATAATATATAATGTGTATATATCTACTCCCAACCTCTGAGCCCCTATTGTCCTATCCTTTCCTCTTCTTTTCCTCAACACGTCTTCCCATCCCCCTACCTTCCGTTGTCATCCATTTGCTTTTCATATGTGTTTGTATTTTAATCCCCTTTCAAATATGAAAACACATGCCGCTCACCATGGTTGTTGTATATTTATATTTAGAATTTATTAGAAGTTCTCTCTGTATTTTCCTATTCACTATTTTATTGCTTCACAAACTGAAATACAACAACAGTAACGAAAAAAAAAAGAAGAAGAAAGAATAGATATTATCTTCCATTTATATCAGACTGTGCTGTAGCGGGAAGCTCATAGAAGTTAGATAGATAATTTTTTTTGTTTTCCAAGGAACATCTAATTCTACTTAAAAACTTCTTTGATAGCAATCACTGCAGCAAACAACAACGATAAATGAAAGACTTTTTTTTAATGCTAAAACAGGCTTATTTGTGACGAAAATTAATCAGCAGTGATTGTTGTCATATAATATTATGTAAAAAATGAAATGAAACAAAAAAAAAAGTAAAAGTAGAAAATAATTAAAATTAAAAAAATAAGCTGTTCGTGCTCTTCGCATACATCAGCTTTCACTTTAACTTTCAGTTGCTGCTAACACTGTCTTTATTGTTGCTTACTACTGTCACAGTTTCTCTACTGCAATTATCGCTTTCTCTTTTTCCAAATTTTAAATTCTAAATTTTTTTTACATCAGAATATTCTGTTTTTTTTTTTTAAGGTGTATAAAAGATAAAAACTGTGTAAAAAGAATTGTTAAAAAGAAAAAGAGCAAAAAAAGTTTTTTTTGGCTACCATGCAATTTTGGTCGGAAATTACTAAATAGAAAAGAAGCTGCAGCATTAAAAACAAGTTAGCTTTATCCTTGGTGCATACTGTATCAAATGATGACAACGATAACTGAGCTTTCGTTGTATAGTAACAGGCCAGCAACCCACAGCGGCAACGGTGGCAGCAGCGGCGGTGAATATGGTTGGAGTAAACGATGCTGTTGCTCTGGCTGAACGATAGCTCTAATACCACAACAGTGACATGTATATAAATATATACAGATGTATATGTGTATGTGCGTATGTATGTATGTACGAATGTGTGTGTGTATGTATATATCGCTGATTCAGATGAAACGTTAGATATTTTGGTTAAACAAATAGGGCTGGCAAATGAGAGAAAGCGGATTAAGGCTTAGGAAATCAACGAGATTCAGTAAAATACTGGAAGAAAAATGAAGCTCGTTCTTTCGTTCGTTCTTCTACTTTTATTTTTCATTGTTTTCTGTTGCTTAAAAGTTGCATTTCGTTCAAAGATAAACATTGCTTCTTCTGTCCCCACTTCCCAACCCGCGTT